ATCTCTGGCTTGTATAATTTGGACAAGATTACACCTATACACAATGTACTTCAAGGCTAGAAATAGATCTATCCTGTTTGTCATCTCTGGCTTGTATAATTTGGACAAGATTACACCTATACACAATGTACTTCAAGGCTAGAAATAGATCTATCCTGTTTGTCATATCTGGCTTGTATAATTTGGACAAGATTACACCTATACGCAGTGTACTTCAAGGTTAGAAATAGATCTATCCTGTTTGTCATATCTGGCTTGTATAATTTGGACAAGGTTACGCCTATACGCAATGTACTTCAAGGTTAGAAATAGATCTATCCTGTTTGTCATCTCTGGCTTGTATAATTTGAACAAGGTTACACCTATACGCAATGTACTTCAAGGTTAGAAATATATCTATCCTGTTTGTCATCTCTGGCTTGTATAATTTGAAACATAAAAATAAATTTTACCAACTCGCATGATGATCACTTAACACTGTGTACCTGTTGCATTGTAGGCTTGAAGATATTCAAGACGAAAGAGGATTGATTATGAACTCCAGCATGCAGTCTTGGAAGCACTGAATCCTCTGCATGAGAGGATGGGTTACGGAAATTATCCAAAACGTCCTTATCCAGTGCTTCCACGGCTGCATGTTAGAGTCCAGAATCAATCTTATTTCATCTTGAAACATTCAATTTGATTAAATTAAGTTTATCGTTGGTTACACGAGGGCTATCTGTGCTAGCCGTCCCTAATTTAGCAGTTAAAGACTAGAGGGAAGGCAGCTAGTCATTACCACTCACAGCCAACTCTTGGGCTACTCTTTTATCAACGAATAGTGGGATTGTCCGTCACATTGTAACGCCTCAACGGCTGAAAAGGCGAGCATGCTAGGTGGGAAGAGGATTCGAAACCGTGACCCTCAGATCCCGAGTCGAGCGCCCTAACCACCTGGCTATGTTATCATTGATTGAAATCTTTAGTTTTAAAAATATATATATCTCAAAGACGAACTTTGCTTTTTTGGAAGTAATATTAAAAATTACAGTAATAAGGAAAAAGTGAGTAAAAAGCAGCAAAACATTTTCATTTGAAAAATAATAGAAAACAATAGATTTTATGATCTGAAATTACAATATTCAGAAATATGCTATAGATTTATATTCATTTAGTTTTATATGCCAATGACATTGAGTTGCGTGTATTTGACATGGACGCAGTTTTGTTAAAGCTTAGTGATTTTCAGGCCAATGTGATTGTTTTTTCCCGATTTCTGTTCTTGGTGTACTTGCTAATTAATTAAACTTCCTCTCACTTCTGCCATAGAAACCATAAACTAATATAAATACAGTGCCATATGGCTCTTGTGGAAGATCATTAAATATACGATAAATCTGGATAAAAAGTCTGAATTTTCATTTTGCCGTAAGAGCTTTACTTGCGCGTGTTGTGTGTGCTCTTAACATCTAATAAGATTGAAACGTGATAAGAATCACAATAGCCAAGTAATTACAGGGTTGATTCAGGTCCAAGTACCACTTATATTGGTGGAAAGGTTGCGCTTATGAACAGGTAAGTTACTTCAATAAAACCATGATTATTAGGTGTTCAGTGTGAATTCTCTATTGAACAGGTAAGTTACTTCAATAAATCGTGATTATTAGGCGTTCAGTATGAATCACTTGTTGAACAGGTAAGCTACATCAATAAAACCGTGAATCACTTACGAGTTCTTTACATTACTGCTTGTATAGATATCTACTTTTGTCTGTTATACGTTTATTTATCTGTCACTTCATCAGACCTAGATGACTCTTTTGACATGTTAGCGCTCTCTAGCTGTAAATGCATTAGTGAGGAAAAATTATGGAAATATTATAAGAATTCCACTTGTTAAAAATGCTGCATATTGTAGAAAAATCACAAGTGAGCTGTTTAATCTAGCTATTGCAAAATTATTTTATACATGTTTATGTGTTGTTCGTAAACATATACTTTCACATATAAACTAAATATTTGATGGTTTTCGCAATTCTTATTGTACTATATTACAGTTTACTATATCATATTAGTTATTAAATATTACGTTTAAACCATTTACAATTAACGCGGGAAATATCGATGATGAAATTGTTTTTAATTTCAATAAAATTTGTTAAAACACCGTTTATGTTCGGTCTTCGTTGTTTTGTCAAATGTATTTATTTGGCATTGAATTTTTGAATTTTCTAAATTCTAACGCATAAATGAGATTCATGTTTTTAAAAAAATGAATTTGGCTAAAACACTACAAGATTTGTGTTACCAAGATTTGTGCCATAAATCACCCAAAAACTCGCATGGACAACGAGAACATAGGTACCAGTGGCAAATATGCTCCAAGGAAGAAAAGAAGGGAAATCTTAAATCCAAGCCAAGTTAACCCTAACCGATTAACAGTCAGCAACATCAGACTTAGATTAATGTCTAGTTTTTAAGTGTTTGTTCTTTTCAAACTGATGTTTTTTTATACTGTTTTCTCCGACTTGTCCCTTATTTGACACTACATAGAAAGCTGAACCCTTGAATTATGCTGTATAATTACAACATTGGGTTCTCTGGCTTGTAGCCAGTTTTTGTTGCTTTTTTCTTAGAAAAAAGAAAAGTTTCCTTATCGTACATTCTCGATCTGGTTGTTATGAGGCTTCACTTGCATCTTTTAAAAATACACAGATCCTGAAAATTCTTCATACTTAGTCTTACAAGATGCTGATAGTGTGTCAGATGCCAATGAAATACTCTAGAACTCAATAGTTCTCAGTTAGTGTGTTAAAGTACTGAAATACTTTGTAACTTAGCCCGTTTTCATTTACTGTGTTACATATGACAGAGATATTACTGATAACCCAATCATCTTTTAATTTTCTGTGTTATACTATATATACTAATAACATACTGCCGATGATTCAACCAGTTTTCATTTGTTGTGTTAGGTACTCTTAGGACATTCTTTTGGTGTGTTAGGTCTTCTTAGGACATTCTTTTGGTGTGTTAGGTACTCTTAGTGCATTCTTTTGTTGTGTTAGGTATTCTTATACCACTCTTTTGTTGTAATCAGTTTTTAATTTTTTATTGTTTTGATGTTTTAAAGGAATCATTTAGTTCGGTGAGAGTGTTAGATACCTATTCCATAGGGTTTTGACACTCAAACTTGAATCAAGGGAATAAATGCGCGAAACATCACCTTATTTCAAATCATTTACTGAACAACGTTTCAAACAAACGCTTTTCATGAAGCCTGTCCCATGATATGACTACGGTAAATCAACGGGCTTCCAAAGCTGAAATCGGCGGTTCGATTTCCTGCGTTGGTCATAGCTCTAAAACAGACAAACAAATCACAAAGCCTATTGGTTATCAAATATGTCATTCAATTAACGAGTTAATACGGTGAACTTTTCTGATGTTTCTTTAATTTAAACTTTTTTCTCGTTTATTCATAGCATTAATTGTATTGGGTGTGCACATTTATCACTTTTTGACCACTGGATATATATATATGTATATATAAACGCATGTTTGTTTCTTTACGCTACCTGAGCGAAGACATCAGTAAATTCTAATATACATGCATTTATATATATATACATATACATCTGTGTTTAAATACAAACTGGAGAACAAGTCAATTTAGATTAATTATTTTGAATATTCTTCATGAATTCCTTGGTGAAAATGTTTATTATTTATCTGCTCTTCGAATAAAACAATTTAATCAAATTTGTTGGATTGTTTGCTAGCAGCCTACACTTGTCATAACGTGTTTGATCGAGTAGCTTTCTGAGTGCCAATCACATAAGAATGGTTTACGTATAAGAAATGTCTTTGTTTTCAGTTTTCTCTAATCTGCACATCAGTTATCGCAATAGGCTTTGATGAAGACCTTCCTCAAACGAATATCCGATTAACGCTTAGAGAACTGTGAAGCAAAAAGTTGATCTGGAAAATTATGAGTTTTTGATAAACAGATTCCGCTTCTTTACTCCAACATATTCCTCATACATCCTCTCAACATTGTTTAAACCAGATGTCACCTTCCAGTTTTCATGGTCTACTGATAACAAAATACAAGTAATCTTCAAGGGAAAGAGGTTAAGATTGTTCTGCAGTCTTTAGGGCAATAGATATCCAAACAGATGTAATTTTGTAGCTGAGAGGGAATAATTAGTACACGTATCTATTTGGACATTTGTGACATGAAACATAGTATTTCTCGGGAAGAATTTAGATATGTATGTAAACAACGTATACAAAAACGTATTTACTAAGAACAGAGCTTGAAAAAGAATCTTTTTATCAAATAAGTCTGACTAATAAGAAATTAAGAAGGTTTGCCACTAATTGATATTTTTTTGCTTTAAACTGTGATATGAGTAAACTACAGACAACGCACTCCGCCTTTTTTTTTTCAAACAGTTCTATGCACGATATGTTGAAACTTTAAGTAGTTTTCACCTCTATAACAATAAACATACTTTTACGTAGGTGTGTATGTGTGTGTAAATGCGTCAAAGAAGTGACTGAAGATTTTTCAAGAGCTAAAATAATTTACCAACCTGCTAGTTTCAAGTTTCATCCTCTGTCACACGTCACATGACTTGGAGCGTGCCCTCGACACTCCCCCTAACACCAAAAGGTCCCATCTAAGCAATTGATTACTTCCGGCATATCCGGATTGGTGGATTTGTGCTATAAGACTGTCAGAGTGAAGACCTGTTGTTTATAATACAAATCATAACACATACTATAGTTGGTAAGACGCGTTAACTCCAGAGTTTCGAAACATCTCAGAAACCTTCACGAAAAAGACGGTCTTACACAGCTTTTCCATCCTCCCAACGACTTGCTCCGTATTTGGAGTGGCACGGCTAAGACTGCCGCGCTGTCGCTGCAATGAAATCTGTTCAGCCATGGATCTCACAACTGGATGTCGTTACAAAGCTAGAATAATGCAGAATTATTCATGTAAGAGTAAGTACAACATGTTAACAGGAAGAGTTAGTACTATAACACAGTGGTTTTCAGCTGGTGTGTCACTTAATTAAGCCAAAACTTTCAATGAACAATAACTGAGATCTGAATATTGTCACTCAATGTAGAAATTAAAAAATACAAATATGTATATATTTTTCGGAATGCTTTTCCCCCCTTTTTTATAAAAAAAAATAATAATAATACGAATAATAGTTTTAACTCACCCTATTTTTAACAGTTGTTCTGTATACCATCAGTTCATTGAATATCACAGCTATAGTCGTTTATATTGTTCGATACATTATTATAAATCACAGCTAAGGTCGTTTATATTGTTCGATACATTATTATAAATCACAGCTATAGTCGTTTATATTGTTCGATACATTATTATAAATCACAGCTATAGTCGTTTATATTGTTCGATACATTATTATAAGTCACAGCTATAGTCGTTTATATTGTTCGATACATTATTATAAGTCACAGCTATAGTCGTTTATATTGTTCGATACATTATTATAAATCACAGCTACAGTCGTTTATATTGTTCGATACATTATTATAAATCACAGCTATAGTCGTTTATATTGTTCGATACATTATTATAAATCACAGCTATAGTCGTTTATATTGCTCGATACATTATTATAAATCACAGCTATAGTCGTTTATATTCTTCGATAAATTATTATAAATCACAGCTATAGTCGTTTATATTGTTCGATACATTATTATAAATCACAACTACAGTCGTTTATATTGTTCGATACATTATTATAAATCACAGCTATAGTCGTTTATATTGTTCGATACATTATTATAAATCACAGCTACAGTCGTTTATATTGCTCGATACATTATTATAAATCACAGCTATAGTCGTTCATATTGTTCGATACATTACTATATAGTAAGTAATAATAGTAATATATTGAAAAATTTAATTTACATAATCAAAAATAAAATATAAGCAAATAATAGAATAATTTTAACTAACGGTTTCTTAAGTAGCAGCGGTTTAAAAGTGGGAAATTTATGAAGAAGGCGCAAGAAATAATAAGTTATTTGATATGGCATTACAGGGTTTTGTTTTGGATACAAATCTAGTGTTCATTTTCCAATTAACCCTGCGGCTTTAAAATGTCCTTAATTAATTAAAATGCTTTATATTAACCTCTGCGATAACTTATATCTCATGTTTGTGACATTTAAGCCTAAACTTGTCTTATCTGAAGTAAATTAGGATTATTCTGTGACCTACTCCCCCCCCCCCTAATATTGTAGCCGAACTGTGTCAGTTCACATGCATGCTTCCAGTTTGGAGTGAATCAACGCTAAGCTTTTCCAGGGAAGCTAATTAGTCGTTCGATCGTATAATTATGGAATTAAATTTTTTTAAGCGTAGAAGATACGTGGTTACGTTCCGCCATACTCTTTGAGAATATAGATGCTTTAATCATTGCACGAATATGCTCGGATTCTGCCTAAGTAATTACGATAATTACATATACAAATTTTTAAATTATGCAGAATAACAAACACAGTGTGAGCCAGCTCATCTTGGCAAGGTATACGGATAAGAATTACACAAAAATTTATCATTAGAATGTTTAAACTGGACGACCTTTCAAGATTTAAAATGTATATCAGGAGTATCGAAAAGATAAGGTCGTATCAAGATCTGTATATCGGTCATCAGTTGATTTGTATTGTATAGGCATCACTTGAAACAATAATAAATAAAATACTTATAGACTCTAATAACATAGCTTTGTTTATAGCAAGCAATACATATTGGTTTCAGCACTCTTTTTAATCCATGTTTAGCCTAAAGTAGTAGCTGACAAATTGAATAATCTCTTTCTTTAACAGGTGGCATTGGTCATAGCAATAATATGAAATCTTTTATCAAATAAGTCTGAGCAATAAGAAATTAAGAAGGTTTGCCACTAACAATAATATAAACACGTGAATAATCTACTGAATTTTTGTTTTTTTTAAAGCAGTGAATAAAATCGAAATACATAGTCTCATTGCACTAAACTCAACAAAAGTATTTTCACAAATTTTCTCTGTTCTGTAGATAGACTCATGAAGGGTTTCTTGTTATCATCAAGGTCTTTCTTTCACTTTCGTAGGTCACGGAGGAGTTAACCAGTTAGGCGGAATGTTTGTGAATGGGCGCCCTCTACCGGACATGGTACGACAGAGAATTGTCGAAATGGCTCACCAGGGTATCAGACCTTGCGATATCAGCAGACAACTGAGAGTATCACATGGTTGTGTATCCAAAATCTTAGGAAGGTAGGATATAATGTACCCTTTTTATTTACTTGTTGACAACAATTAGGTAACTAACAGTGACTAGGTAATTCTTTACCTTCACAAAATGTAAGTCAAACGAATAATGTATTAACTTGTCTTTCAAAATGTTAGAGTAATACATGTAAATGGTAAATATTTACTGGCTGAATGTTACGAATCTGGGATGTTTCTATAAAAACCAAATTAAATATAATTGGGACCAACTGTTGCCATCTCTAAGATCTACTATTATGTGTAATCGCAGATGTAAAATGTGACAACATATAATTACGTAACAGATTAAATGCATTGTGGGAGATTTGGAGAGTCGGTTATAAAGTACTATTTTCGACCAAAATGCCGCCACAATAGATCACTAATGACATAAGAGGCTTGTATTGGAACCTTAGAATGGTTGCAGTCATTATCTTGTCTCTGCTCTAATAAGAAAGGATTGGATATTTTTCCAAACTTGCAGTAAGTCGTTAATATGCTTGGTTAACCTTCGACTAAGAAAACGTCATCATTCCATCTCCTTCAAAGTGACGATTCTCATGTTCAAAAAGATAGGTTAAAAATGTTTATTGAAAACAGTAACGTACGTCCGTGATATTTTTACTTAACACCTTTACTAGTAAACAAATCTCCAAAGGGTTTGGTGTTTTCACAACTGAGAATAAAGTGTTACCACTACAGTAATTTTTGATTTATTTACGTTGTGATCAGTTGCAACGATCTGCTCAACACCATCCTCAAGTTCAATATTATCACGTGACCCACTAAATGTCGAGCTTAAGCATGCCCAGAGTGAATAATCATTATAATCAGCCTAAAGCTAAGAGATAAAAATGTTGTAAACAGTAATGATTGAACAACAGCTGACAACGTTGAATTGTTAACTATATAACACTTGTATATAACATCTTTTATTACTTTTTTTAAAAGTAGGCGTGGCGTGGCCTAATGATATGCATGCTTTAATATGGTTCACAAAATCCAAGATTCGAACTGTAAGGTCGCTTAACACGCTCCACATTTTCACTTATAGGTGCGTTATTTAGTTTAAAAACTGGACAAAATCATTTTGGCGGTTGGTACTGCTGGTTGGCTGCCCTCCCTCTATCTAGTAGCTCAAAATTAGGGACAACTAGATTTAAACCCTACAAGTTTCTAAATTGACCGTTTAAACCACGCGTGTGTGTAAATGACGGAATTTAAATATAATTATTAGACGTGTCTTGCCTACGTTAATGCTGAAACAGCATTAAACCTAAGTTAATACAATAAAGTTTTTCAAATACATTAAAACAGCACTTGTGCAATATATATATATACACAATTAAAAGGAGCACAGCTTCAAGACAATTGCACAATAAATAATTTATCAAAAACAGGGACCAGCCCCAAAAAGACTGTACATCTTTCGATGTTCTTACCCCCACAGACCCCAGTGGCACAGCGGTATGACTGCGGACTTACAACGCTAGAAACTGGGTTTCGATACCCGTGGTGGGCAGAGCGCAGATAGCCGTTTGTGTTGCTTTGTGCTTAACTTCAAACAAGCAAATCTTACGCCACCATCTTCAGAACACCGAAACCTAAAGATAATTTTTAGGGTTGGTCCGTGTTCTTAATAAATTATTTATTGTGCAATTATTTTAATTGCATATACACTTTTTTTTTCTTAAATACACACATTTATAACATGCATTGTCCATGACTCATTGAATAATTATACGCAATTTATTTACCTTGCAATTCTTATAAACAGTATAACTGATCCAGGAACCACGCGTAATTGTCCGTCATCAAGTTCTATTGCGTTATTCCGACACTTTGAATAACGCACAAGAATACAGAATATGTGACGTGTTTCTGAAACAAGGAAAATACGGTTTTACAAAACTACGTGAAAGTGTTAGTCATGGAACAAGTAGTCCCTTAATAAATGGAAAAGTCTCATACAACTAGCCAATTTACAATGTTCATAATGTTTATCCTGGTTTTATTCACAGAAATAGTTTCATCATAACATTTTCATTCACTGCTTGTAGTAAAAGGAACAGCTTGTACTGATCGTGTTAGATAAACAAAGTATGTGTATGTTATCCGTACGAAAGCTACCCTATTCATTGCATAAATTTCAATAAATGTTTCACCCAAATTCCCATGCAGACTACAGAATATTTTATCTATATGCTTAGTTACACATTGGAGCAAAAACCATCCATATAATCTAGTTTATTTTTTTTTACTTACAGAATCCTCAGTCCATACCTCATTATAAAATGTTTGCTAAAGCTTTGTGATATGTCGCACAATAAATACGTGGAAACATTTCTCGTACACGTTATTTGGTTACTTATAGTAAAAAAGAAATTTCAATATTGTTTTATTTTCAAGTATTTACGGATTTAACATTTGAATTCAATAAAATGTTATATACTGATTTACATATATATATATATACTGTACATATATATTTCAACGAACTGTTTAACAATATATAACTGCCTTATCATGCATTAAAACAGCTATATAAAAACTGGAGATGGGCTCCATGCTTAACGAGGGTAGTGTTCTGCTCTATCAACATCACGTAAGTGTGGTCTACGAAACATGAATTTATCCAGTTGCGCATAAAATATAAAAAAGATAACTGATTCAGTCTGGAAAATAGCAAACTATTCCTATAAAAGTATACGAAAGGTTGATCACACTTTACAAGAAACAGTTGCATATCTTTGTGTGTAGGCATAGGCTGCATATGCAAACCGTGGCACCACAGGCGACATTCTTAATTCCTGTATATTTGGTTCGCGAATTCCCGACCATTTGGTAAAGCAATGCCGCCACGAGTATTCTAATGACTGGAGAAATGCGTCACAGCCTTTTCTGAGGGAGGATATTCAATGACAACTATCTATAACATATAGTGAATCAGAACCATCTAAACAATATCCTATGATACATAAGATTACCATTACGATTGTCAAAGTTCGCAGACTGGTAGTCCAGGAAATCCCCTTTCTCACACAGAAAATGATTCTAATAGTTTTACGTATTAAAATCAAATGTGCACAAGATGATTCACAAATAAATGTCTTCCATTTGAAAAGAAACATAAACCAAGAGTGGACAAGTTTCTTCCCCCCCCCCCCAAAAAAAAAGAGAAAAACAAAACTGCGGAAGATTTTTTGGAAAAAAAATAGACTTGCACATGAGAGATGGAAGGTTTTTGGAACATTGGACGAGGCCTACGTGTGCTAGAAAGATTGCAAGAAGAAAGTGGCGGTTTTCTAGTAACCTCGAGGTTGTAAGAACTTCCCAACAGGATACAAAGAGTGTATTAAAAGTTTTTTGTCGATCTTAATGGTTGTCGCAAGTTGCTCATGTAATGAGAACTTAAACTTCGCAAAGTTCACAGTATACCAAAGATGAGTACTAATTACTAAGTTGACACTAATTATGTCTCTCTGTCTTGTGCCTTGTCTATGAGCAGATGTTGGCCATCATGATTCTTCATCTTCCTTTGTCTCGAGCTAACTGGATGATGTCATTGTCTTTTAGTGCTGGGCTATCAATCTACTTCCGCAGCCTAATAATTTACTTTGGACACAATTATACAAAATGAAATTCCTTCACTTTATGACCAGGATGCAAAGAAAGCATGATTACCTCAGGGTAAAGCGACGAATCACACGTCAAAATACACAACGGCGCCTCTTTGAATCATGTGAAATGAATCCGGTGTTGATGCTACTCCATTCTCCGGCATACCCGCGAAGTCATCTAATTACGCACCCATCAACAATGTCTCTATGAAACATGGAAAATCAAACCAGTGTTGATGTTATTACATTCTCAAACATACCCGTGAAGTATCCTAACTGCACACTCGTCGATTGCTGTACATTTGGTTTGCTTAAAGGAGGCATTAAAAGCTGATTTCCATGTGCAGTAAATAATCCGTGGAAAGTTTACTATGATACTGGATCTATGATTGACTTCACCATCCTTCTTAGAAGCTTGTCACAATGGAATATGCGGTGTCAGGCAATACTGCATTATCAAGGCCGTCAGACTGAGAGGGATCAGTGATGGTCGCATAATCAATGCCGTCAGACAGAGGGGGATCAATGATGGTTGCGTAATCAAGGCTGTCAGACTGAGAGGGATCAATGATGAAGGAAATGATTTCAAGGTCATCGCGGGACTTAAAACACCGTTCTTATAAAATACGATTAACGTTTTTATAGCAGTAACAAATGACTCATTTCAAATTAAGTTCGTCAACTGAATGTCATGATAACAGACACATTTCGATAATATTTTAATGCAGAAAGTGCGAAAGACTTGATATTAGAAAGAAGAAGAAATGCAGTTACTGTTTAGAGTAAGTTTTGTCGTTTTGCTCCTGACTTAGGACATTGTAATTTTTGAGTTTAGTTCGAAAACCGAGTTGTTTTTTGAAATGATGTATAACTGGAAGCTGGATAAAAACTTTTTCTTACATATAATCACCTTCTTCCTTCGTGCATAATGACGCTGAAAAAAACTTTTTTTAATACAAAAACGGCTACGCACGTGCAATATGTGTGTGGGAACAGTTGGCACCAGTTTTATACATCTCTAATGTTGCAGCTGTCGGGAGATGCTTAGTCAGCTGAAGAGGTAAGGGTGAAAATGTAGGTTTGTACTTACCAAAATTTGATGTTTCCGAGATAAACGATCAGCTTGGTCTGACACGTGTATTCGATTCTTTATACTCCCGACGTATATATGTTAGGTTAATTCCGTTTGTTTTATTAAGCATAGAAAACCAAGTGAATGTTGTTAACATAAAGTTACTTAACGGAGAAAATACCGAAAATACTTTGAAATTTTTGTCTATGAAAAATACCAGTGAGATCTGCTCCAGGCATGCAAGTATTAAATTAATTCAATATTTCATGAAGCACCTAAAATTAATAAACTATGTCCTAAGATTAATAAACTATGTCCTAAGATTAATAAACTATGTTCTAAAATTAATAAACGATGTCCTAAGATTAATAAACTATGTCCTAAGGTTAGGAATACCGAGATAACTTGAAACTTTCTGCTCTAAAGTCTAGAATCAAAATGTGACCAAATGCGTCTTCAACAACTATATATTGAAGTATATATTAAATAAAGCTGAAATGCACATTTTAGTTATACAATAAAACTTCTTCCAAATTTAAAGCGTTTAAGCCTCTAACATCCAGAGTCCCTTAATTTCAGTTTGTAAGAAACTACTTCGATAAAACATTAGTGCAGACTTATTAACAATGATACTCTATTAAAGTTTGTATATATATATATATATTTAGGTTCTATGAAACAGGATCCATTAAACCTGGCGTTATTGGCGGTAGTAAGCCTAAAGTAGCAACTCCAAGGGTGGTAGAAGCCATTTCTATGTACAAAAAACAGAATCCTACAATGTTTGCTTGGGAGATCAGAGACAGACTTTTAGTGGATGGAGTTTGTGATCAAGAAAGCATCCCCAGCGTCAGCTCTATCAACAGGTAAGTAGTTGAAATCATCAGGGAGACAAGTGCGTAATAAATACTGAAATGAGATTGTTTGTTTACTTTGTTTTAGAGCAAAGCCACATTAGGCTATCTGCTGTGGCCTTCGCGGGGAATAGAACCCCAGATTTTAACGTTGTAAATCCGTAGACTTAACGCCGTCCCACCGGAAAACTCGAAATGAGAAACATGTCTCGTGGTGTTCGTTGCTAATAATATAAATTTTCTTCTCTGGTGTTGCCTTCAATTCATTGATGCAAAAGGATAATGAATTGAATATCAATTTCTACCCGTGATTATTCTAAAAATCATCGGGAATGTATTTAAAAGATCCCTCTTTAAGACTTATTCATAGGTTAATAATGCTTGGAGACGGCTTGAATTGGTAATGAAGAAAACTTTAATATAAGTAAATGTACAACAAATGTACAGCAAATGTACAACGTTTTGACAAGGTTTTGTCATCATCAGATTTCTAAATCCAATTGAAGTGTACTTACATTTAAATGATTTCATTTCATTTTCATTTGTATTTGAAAGAGAAATAAAACGACTGATTTTTCTTCTCATTTGAATATAAAACAATCTTGTAAAACAAGGAAATCACAAACAAAATGTATCAAGTATATTGGTATAAGTATATCCACTTATGGACTCAGTTAATAAGTAAGCAAATAGTCATTTTCTAATTAAACTATATATATATTTGAAAGGAATATATCACTTGGTCTAAAGTCAAATACGAGTAGAACTAAATGAAAAGCTTTGTGAACGTTAAAGATAAAAAATATACATGTTTTAAGCTGCATGATGATAGAAACATTCAAAACTCCACTGGGAGAAGAAGAAAACGACGAAGCGCCACCACTGAAATTGACAAATGAGAGAGTTCATCCGAAACGTGATGATGCCGACAGTGGTAAATATTTTGTTTGTTGAATAGATTCCAAGTTGTTCTTCTGTCTACCTTGCTACAGGTGCACTGAGAGTAGAAGAAGACGCTTGGCTTTGGAGCTGTGTAGCTGTCTGATGTGAGTGACAACTCGCTGTCGTATTACAAGCTAGATAATCACACAGAAACGTCGCTAACGAACGCCCAATATAGCTCTTGTAGTACGTCTTGTAACTGTTTTCTTTGTACTTTAACTCTTTCCCTATAACAATAGGAAAACTTAACTGGCCCTACTAAAGCGTTGAACAACCAGCCCATATCAATGGGGTGTTTTTGTTGTTTTTCGAGTCGTTTCAGAGCTGTACTAGAATATGCGAAAAATATGAAATACAAAAATATGACCCCTTTCGCAAAATGAATCAACTACTCGTGTTAAACTCATGAATCTCGAAAACAAATCAAGAAAACAGTTCTGCGAGTACTATGGTAACCAGGTAGTTTGAGTTGTTAAATCTATCAGATGAGGCTATCCATTTAGCTTGCCTGTTTGCGAGAGGTTTCGCATTCGATCTTGGAACATACAACAAGTTAGTTTACCACACATTTAGCTTGCCTGTTTGCGAGAGGTTTCGCATTCGATCTTGGAACATACAACAAGTTAGTTTACCACACATTTAGCTTGCCTGTTTGCGAGAGGTTTCGCATTCGATCTTGGAACATACAACAAGTTAGTTTACCACACATTTAGCTTGCCTGTTTGCGAGAGGTTTCGCATTCGATCTTGGAACATACAACAGGTTAGTTTACCACAGAATTACCTAATGTATTATATGATTGAACGTTGTGTTTGCATATCACATGCATAAACGATGGAATTCAAATCCTAGACACTATGTATATGAATACACACGCGTACGTGCCTAGTCAACAATAAATGTTGTAAGATAAGGCGAACGGAGTACGTATAGTTTGGTACCAACAACCACACATTCTGTACTGTTAACGATACATGTTTGGAAGTTAGAACGTTAAGAGAGATATTTTTTAACGTAAGAAGACCTGTGACATACAAATGCTCCGCCTGATGTTAGTTTATTAAACTAATTTTGTAGTATACTCTCTCAAAGAACATCGACCCTGTCTTTTTATCCTGTATATGGGCAAGACGTGGCCTAACGGTTAGCATGCCTGAACTGTTGATCCGCAGAACAGTGGGTGCTGTTGACTAGTTGGATTCCCACTAGTCTGTCAGTTCAAAGTTAATATGTGCAGATAGTTCTTGTATAGCTTTATGGGAAAATTCTATTTACATATATATGTATATACAAATAACTAAATAGCCTAGTAATCTTTAATAGATTTAAGAAATCTAGTATTTTTTTTTCAATTACATAGTTTTATAAACCGCCACACAAAGTATTAATATAATTAAACTATCTCTGGAAGCACAAGAGGAACGTGCCTGACGATCTCCAGTCTTGTCTGACTGTCTGTTAGATCAGCGTTTAAGGAAGCCTAGCGATTACAAAGAAGAATAACTTTGGATTTTATATAAAATTAAAAGACAAATCATTATTCTATATAACAATGTTACTAATTACAACAAAACTAATTCATGATACATACCTTAGAAGAATGTTCATATGTAAAAAACGCGAAACGAAACTCATCTGTTTGGTGGTCATTAAGTCAAATTATAATCAAGAAATATTTTATACCGTGTACTTTGCAAAGCGGCAGAACTAAGCAAAAGTCATCAGTAAAAGTATTTATTTGATAATTACAAGAATTAGTTATTACTATGATGAAAATTAATACGTCTAAATTAATTCCTATTTCTTGGTTTTGATGTTTTGTCTATACTACATTATTCAATCTTTGAAGTTCAGTCCCCTTTTACCCATAAAAGTTTGGGCATTCAGTATTATGCTACTTAAACAGTACATTAAAAGAGGAGAGCTATTGTAGTAATATGTAAACTCTGGCAATGTTGAATTGATTGCTAAGCATTAAATGTACACTTCGTATTATAAGTCATAGTCGAGACGTAATGCTAAACTGTGAATGGCTTTGAGAATTCCAATAGCGATCGTAGCAGTAATATGAAGCCAATCACAGTCAACCCACAGTTTTAATAGGTATATCACATTGTTCACGATAATGCTTGTTATCCTCTATTGATAGTATACAACCACAAACAATTCATAGTTCTGGAATAGCATTATTTACAGTTATAGCCAATCACATTTGATTTCGGTATCACACTGTTCACAATAATATTTCTTACTCTCTCATGATAGTAGCCAATCACAGTTAGTTTCGGTATCACATTGTTCACAGTAATGTTTGTTACTCTCTCATGATAGTAGCCAATCACAGTTAGTTTCGGTATCACATTGTTCACAGTAACGTTTGTTACTCTCTCATATGTTTTAATAATTTTTTTTTCTTATTTTTTTGCAGGATCGTACGTAACAAGGCTACTGAGAAAGCTAAACATTATACTTTGCCTCAACAAGAAAACAGTGTAAGCCTGGAAAGTCAGAGTACATCCAACACCACGTCGGTGATCACTCAAGCTGCTACTCCGTCTCAAGAACAGCGACAGTCCTATTCTATCAACGGTATTCTGGGAATAGCGAGTGCGGCTGCAAATGGCAACAAGAGAAAACGCGATGAAATTCATGAAGGTGTGTGTGTATAATTAAATCAATGAACTTCTTTGGAACCTCTGTGTTTTATATATTATTTTCCCCATGTTTTTTGTAGATTGGAAAAGCTCATCTCAGCTCGGAAACGTTTTGTTACGTCACATCATTTAACGGATGTGTAAGATGAGTTTTCATAGTTGTATACTATACTCATCAGTATTATATGTTCCCAAGAAAATTACAAGTAAACGCCTGAAAAAATCCTTCAAAGATAACTTCGGCAAAGTTAACATTCAGCCGTGGTACTTACAAACAACCACCGGCACAAAGTTAACATTCAGCCGTGGTACTTACAAACAACCACCGGTAAAGTTAACATTCAGCCGTGGTACTTACAAACAACCACCGGCAAAGTTAACATTCAGCCGTGGTACTTACAAACAACCAGTGGTAAAGTTAACATTCAGCCGTGGTACTTACAAACAACCAGTGGTAAAGTTAACATTCAACCGTGATACATATTATCTTTACCTGTAGAGAATATTTATTTCACTATTTTCTTCTATTTATTTTTATTAAGATGTTTTCAAAGCCCGTGGGCACCGTGCCCATTGTCTTTAAAACAACGTATGCACTTTTTTTTTTAAAAACTATATGTTCATCACAACACCTGTTCAGGCAATTCTCTACATATACAAGTCGTTAAAAAAATAAAATAAGAAAGTTCGCTATTTTCTGGTTTTACTATTGCCGGTCTAATACTAAAGCTGATTTTAAGATAACAAGTCTAACACTAAAGCTGGTTTATGAATTATCAGTCTGAGTCTGATGTTAGTTTTAAGATAACTAGTCTGATACTAAAGCTTGTTTTGAAGATAATCAGTTTGGATCTAATGTTGGTTTTAAAATAACCAGTCTGCTGTTAAAACTGTTATTAGAGATACCAGTGTAAGACTAAAGATGGTTTTAAGATAACCAGTCAGAGTCTAAAGTTATTTTACGTTTTTATTTGGAAAGGTATATCACTATTATTGAATTCGTGGCCAAAAATAAAATCCATTGACATTTAAGGTAAAATCCTTTTACGTTTTGTGAAAATTGAGCGATATTATAAATTACAATAAAATTACAAATTGTGGTTCAGAATTTCCAAACAGTTGAAAACGGGCTTCTTTTATTTGTTCGTTGAATGTGACCAGAGGGCAGAAAGTAAAACGGGAAAAATAAATAATAATCTTGGAGAACATAAAAATAATTATTTTTTGTGTTCTACAAATTTCAGTAGGGTTGTATCTTTAATCTCTTAGAAGTGGGGATTTTTCACGAAGAGCCCCAAAACACATTCTTATTGTAAAATTCGTGAGACACACACTCCGAAAAGCTGAAGGATTAAGAATCACAGCTTCAATCTTAAATTACTATCAAAAATGTCTTTCAAAAACTTTATTAATGATCCTCTTTCGCGTCCTTTCAAATTAAAGCTAAAAGTTTCGCGTAATAACTACTGTTGATCTTGCGCTTTTGGTTTAATTTGTCTATTTGAAATAAACAAATAAGAACAAGTGCATTAAAAACTGGCAGCTTGTCAAAGAAAATAAGCCTTTAAGTGAAGGCAATAAATGGGTTTGATTCTTATTCTAACAACAATGCAAAAATCAAAAATGTTTCTTTTCCTCTAGCGCTCCAGTAACACTATATTGCATTCACAACAACATGGTAAATGTTATATTCCACTAACATTTAATGTAGAATATAATATCTTCCGAATCATGAAGTTTAAGGTTCTCTGATTTTTCCCTTCTTTAATATATTTTATTTATATGATGTTCATATAGACTCTGTAATAATTCACTAAAGTTGTTTTTAATGTTTTTCAATTTTTCGTTCCCGTGATATTTGATTATAATCTAGTCCCAATGCTTAATTTCTGTTATAATTCTCGGATCTGTTTTGGATTTTATTTATTTTAATGCTGGAAAACTATGTTTGTTTCAAGAATGCTTCGGTTGTATTTAAATATGCTATTTGGTTTCTAGAAAGTACGAACTGTAGACTACGCTTGTAGTTTATAATTATTGGACGAAGCCTAAGGAAGTCGCTTGTCAGTGTCGAGGAGAAACGGGCAACAATTACTATATATATATATATATATGTAGCTTCAGACCAAATACAAGTCCCACGGTAACGATTATTATTCAGTTAAAGCGATTGGGTGGTTTTTTTTTCACTTGCCACGTGCGCGGCATGCTACTGATTTAAACTCTGCCTTGAACAAACTTGTCAAATGAGTGCTAACGCTATTCGACAGCAGTGAAAATCCTCGTGATTGATCTCACCGAATTACGCAAGGTTTTATTAAATACTCTGGAGTATGTTTGGTTAATTTTAATCACCAATTGATTTGATGTTTATCATTATGTAACCGAAAAAAAAAACATGTTGAAGAAAGTAATTTATAATGTACTTTTCTGTCGAATGATACAATTGCTTTCATAATTTTGAACTGTATCTCAAATGCTAAGCGTATTCTGTCCCTCTCTAGACGAAGTGTGTATCCGTACATGAGCATCCGCAGGATAGTATAAAGGGGGGGGGGGCATTTGCCCCCCTGATATTTCAAAATAAAATGTATTTGAATGATTTATTTAAGATAATACTATTTATATATAAGTGACGAAATTATATTTATATAAATAAGCCATAATTAGCCAGAGTATTGCATTTAAACTTAGATAAAATGGCCTGCGCTCTGCGATGGCTCCCCTTCTGCAATAAATTCTGCGAACGCTCACGTAATCACTCTAAATAACATATTTAACTTCAGAAGACGTTTAATTCTCTTTAGATTAATTCACTCTTATTGATATAAGGTCTGTTAATGATATGAGGTCTTAATTTTATATATATGTTAAAAAGTCCTAAAAGTTATAACTGAATTACAAATAGTTAAAAGTTTAGATTTCAGCGATACTTGATTCAAGATACAATCAGTCGTTAATTTCATTAGCGTTAATGTAATAATACATGCAAAATCTATACGAAATTTGGTTTCTGACTGATTCACAATTTACTATCTATTGCACGTTAATAAGGTGATCTGGTCTTTGTAAGTTATTTAGTACCCGACTGCATCACAGCTCAAGTTCTGCGATACATTAACAACATGTTCCAATCTCTATGAATCATTTTGTTTCTTAATGCTTTATTAAAAATAATTTACTATGACCAAAACTTATTATCGTTAAGCCTTGCTAACTGCGTAACACTATCTCATGTTTTAGAAATGTTAGTAAACGGGGGATTAAATGTATATTTTTTCTGTACGGTGTTTAATTCATGATAGTTGTACAATTTGTTGTTGTTTTCATAGTTGATAATGACCACATAATACAAGAAGAGGAGTATAAGAGACAACGAAGCCAGTACAACGGAGATCAACTCTACAGCAATGTAAGGGCACATACTTCGAAATACATCTCAAATCAGAACAGTTATCTTATCTATGTAATAATGTTTTACCTGTTATTTGTCATTAGATGTTTGGAAAATATGATGCTTATTTGGCACGTGATCGTAAGTGCTTTATTTTCAAATGCATTGAACAGAAAAAGATATTTTGTACAGGTCCTTTAGTGAGTAGATTAAGCCTTTTCTGTAAATAATGATTTAGAAGTGGAATACATTACGATATTTAAGGTTTCTATCTCGAGTTAAATATCTACACACAAAATAGTCATTAGTAAACCTGGACAATAACTTTGTATTTACATTGTAGATCTGTTCTTCATATTTAGCGCTCGAAAGTTATCATAGCTTATATAACATAATTTTCAACTTATACACGATTTTCTCATTTTTGATGTTGGACTGGTTAAAACAGAAAATGAGGTTATATTATTTTGATTATATATTTTGCTTTAATAAAAAAAAATATATTGTTTTGTCCTACATATTAACTAGGCATAAAAAATTCTCCACTTAAAACCGCAAACTTCTAAACTTTAATTACAGTCACAAAGAGTTTGGGCAGTTAGGTTTTAAATATTTTGCTTCTAATGATCTGCTTTGAATATAACCTACTCCAGGATACTTCTCTTCTGTCCTATCAGATGTGGCCAAAGTGGTGTAGGCCGGATGATCTAAAAGGTATTGTCGCCGACTTGCCTACGGATATCCCCAACGGATCTCCATATTCCCTGCAACAATTTCCATCTTCCCCTGAGCAAGCCTTTCCGCCCCTAGTTTCATCACCAGAGAATGATCATTTAAAGCCCGAGGGTCTACATCTATATGATGGTACCATGAATTCCGCACATTCCCAGGTTCAGTCAACGGCAATTTACTCGCCGCCTCTAGGTAATTGTCATATTTCCATTCTGCTTACTTTTGAATGAATTTCAATCAGTAATTACACAAAATTATCATGAATTATATTTTTATAAGGTCTTGATTATTCAAGCTAGGTGATATATTAGATGAGTCAGAATGAGTGAAATTCAGAAACCCTGCACGTGGTGATATTTCTCCATTTCTCCTCCTCAAGATTAACCTGATGACGTTGTTCGTTGCGGCTTTTTTTTTACGCTTTTCTTCTGAATGTTATGTGGCAAGCAAGCATGGCTTGGCTAAATCAGTAGAGCCTTTCAACACCGATCGTTAAACTTGAAGTTTTTATTTCAATTGCTTTTCATTATAATCTTTTAAGTTTCAGCACGTAATGGTTTGTTTTTAATTTTTTTTCGAAAAAAACCTAAACTGTATACTTGAATGTGCATTATTTTACTCATACTTGTATTCATTTAATAGCGTGATTCAAAACACGATGTTTTTGGAGATTTAGATACCTTATCTTTCATTAACTCTAATCAATTGAAAAAGGCCCGTAACCATAAATGCATTAAAAATTGCACGTTCAAGCCATTTAATAAATATATATCGATAGCATGGCATCGATTATTTTGCTTCTAGATAGAAAGTTGTAAATTGTGTCAATACATTTTGTTCTCGATGCTGTACTGTTGTCAAACTGAATACGGTCACTGTGGTGTTCATCAACATACACGAAATTAAAACCGTCTAATTTCATTTTATTCTAATGATAATGAAACAATATTAATACGTTTAAAATTCGAGTACAGACAGACAGACATACTTCGAGAAAAAATTAGGATGTCATACAACTCTTGTTACACTTCACTGAAACCGAAGTGGATTATATCTTCAAAGTAGAGGAAAATATGCAGAAAATAAAAAATACTGGAACAAATGAGTAATGGAACACGATTTGAAAGAAAGTGCTGGAAATTGCAGTGTTTGTGACTGGTAGTTTCTATCCCTAATGACAGTGCGAGAAGATTCTTTGTGATCGTTGCTACTGGATAATCGGTTTCGCTGCTGGTATTGGTGGCGGGACCTGAAATCAGGTATTAAGTAAGAGAGAGAGAGAGTAGCAAAGTTGTTTTTTCAGCAACAGGTGGCGCCGGGTGATTAATACACTCCATTTGACACGGCCATTTAAAATGACAATCATTATCTTAAAATCCAAACATTTTTTTTAACTTTAACAACCTATATGGCGTTGATTTTTTATCGGAGTGTAAATAGTCGTCTATTACAGGAAGAATATTTAAGTTCTGAAACAATGTTCCCTTCTAAAAAAAGCTTTTATAAATTATGTTCAACTTAACATGTTCTAGAAATCCTTACAGGGACAGGTTTTTAGTAATCTACGCACGTATAAGGTTTCCTGAAATAGATTCGCATACAAGAAAGTTGTCATTAACATATTTCATCCCCCTTCATGCACCCCATGTAGCTATTTAAACTACCTTGTCCTATCGAAGAAACTAAACTATTTGTAAAACGCAAATATAAACTAAAATATTTGATATCTAAAAAGAAAACCTCTAATTAGTTTTCAGAGGGCGTAAAACATTTCAACTTTGAATATGCTCGATGCTTTATGTTTTCATCTTTTATCATTTTCGCAGAAAGTTACACAAGGGCTCTAACTAATAGTCCAGAAGGAAGGCAGATAGCCAACGACCCTCATTCTTAAAGCGCACACACGACACCAATAGGACGGGAACCATAAATTCTCGGAATCATAGTCTAGGCACGTTATTTTCTAGCCAAACCCGGCCCATGTCATTCTTTAGAAGTGAATAATTAGGACATAAAACAAATACACTTGTATGTATGAGAATCCATGATCAAAAACTCAAAATTTACTGATATCCGTGATATGTCAGGATCAGGAATACTTTTTGAATATAAATAATAGTTTTTCAAATATACACTCCATATATATGATATTTATTCATGCAGTAATATACGAAAAATACAACCATATATAATAATATTTTGTAAACAGCTTAAACCGATGAAAACATTCAACAAGAAAGATTGTAGTAGCAGAATTAAGAACTCAATCTACCATACCTTCTCGAAAAAGCTAGTTCTCAGTACTGTAAAATCACAAGTTCTTGGAAATAGTTGAATCTAAGATATTTTTCTGGAAATCATGTTTTGTTGAAAAAGACAGCTGTAAGAAAAAAAAAGTCTGAGTCATGCTATAGTTATTAAAGTTTTCTACATCATTTAACTCATATGGTAGTTTTTTTTTCGCCAAATTCTGATGACAAAAAAATTTTTTAAAAGGCTTAACTATTTTTTATTTAGGCCAACTCGTCTTGGTTGGACCTGTTTCATGCATCTCTTAATTCTTTCAGCCTTTATGAATATTGTATAGTTTTAAAAATCGTGAACAAATGCTAAATGCCTTAAAGCAGTATTGTGCAAATAATTTATATCCACATGGCTGTTCGTTTACGCCCGGCATGGCCAGGTGGTTAGGGCGCTCGACTCGCAATCTGTGGGTCGTGGGTTCGAATCCCCGTCACACCAAAAATGCTCGCCCCTTCAGCTGTGGGGGCGTTATAAAGTTCGGTCAATCCCACTATTCGTGGGTAAAAGAATAGCCCAAGAGTTGGCGGTGGGTGGTGATGACTAGCTGCCTTCCCTCTAGTCTTACACTGCTAAATTAGGGACGGCTAGCGCAGATAGCCCTCGTGTAGCTTTGCGCGAAATACATAACAAACAAACTGTTCTTTTAATCCGTTTAGTGTTGAATAGTATCAAACGTTCACAAAAATATATTAACAATTATTTTTCATGTAAACGTCATTTATTAGTACGAATGCTTCACACAAAAATATCCGATCTGCACCATGAACCAATTAGCTTTCAGTGTCTGCAGTTAAAATGAGTATTGTTTTAAATCCAACAACTACAATGACATTAGGACAGATTTTAACTCTGGTAACTTTAAAGCTCTGTTTTCTAACTTTTTCCTGCCCCATTTTTCGAACTGTACAAACGTTGAAGAGTAACTTACCGCTAAATACCCTTTCTGATATAAGTGAAAACTGAGAAAGATGAAAATATCTAACATAGAGATGGCAAATAACAAAGTGGATGATAAGACTTTTCAAAAACGGGTGTCATAACTCGAAACGGGTCATCAGAGGGCTATAACATTCTAGTGTCACAAAGAAGTCCCATCAGGAGGCGCTATAGTTGCCTTTGCATGTCAACGCCTATATAGAAACAACGTCAAATCACCAGGCTTTGCTCTGCTGTTACACATTATATACAAACAGCGTCAAACCACCAGGTTTCGCTCTGCTGTTACACATTATATACAAACAGCGTCAAACCACCAGGTTTCGCTCTGCTGTTAGACATTATATACAAACAGCGTCAAACCACCAGGTTTCGCTCTGCTGTTAGACATTATATACAAACAGCGTCAAATCACCAGGTTTCGCTCTGCTGTTACACATTATATACAAACAGCGTCAAACCACCAGGCTTCGCTCTGCTGTTAGTATACAAACAGTGTCAAACCACCAGGTTTCGCTCTGCTGTTAGACATTATATACAAACAGCGTCAAACCATCAGGTTTCACTCTGCTGTTAGACATTATATACAAACAGTGTCAAACCACCAGGCTTCGCTCTGCTGTTAGTATACAAACAGTGTCAAACCACGAGGCTTCGCTCTGCTGTTAAACATTATTTTGGGCAAGTGAAGTGCAAATACTGGACTTCGGACAGCATCTCTTATCTCTGTTATCACGTTCTCTCACTAATGAAAGCAATACTGGACACGATTGTTGGCCACATTAAACATTGTTAACATGGTGAATGTGTGATTTTCTCTACCATAACCCTCACTTCAGCATTGATACCATCTGTCCCATCGATTCATTAGTTCATATACTAAATACTCGAGTTTTTGTATTATGGAAGCAAGAATAGTCTAGTTAACTTCATAATAACCCTGAATATTGTCTTACCAAACGTGATGATTCTCAGTTTATTGCTGAACTTTCAGAATGAATAAAAATAAACAATCATGTTGGATATAGCTTGTTTTCCTTCATGCCGCAAGATTTTTATACTGGTTTTATATTTTGATATCTAACTTTTATACAGAGTTGCCCATTCGAATTTTCTTTATATTCCAGTTTCTTTTCTTAATTGATTGTGTTACGGTTGCCTTGGTAATTTTCCTGGAATCTCGCTGGTACACAGTGGTGTTGGAGTTGGTTATGTCTATTTTCAAAGCTCGTGGGTTAAGACGACAGAATATATGTTATCTTTACATGCAGAATGCCCTAGTTGAGATTCCAAGTGGAACATAAGAGCGTTGCTCGCCAACTTTTGGGTGTTTGAATAAACACTAAAAACATTTCTCCAAATATCATACTGTTGCACGTATTAAGAAGAACATATATGTAATTTGTATGGTTTCGATATATTGTTTGACTCAGTGCCGTACTATACCGTACATTCCGTGGTTACGCATCGCTTTGTCAGATCATTGTCTGAAAGCTTGTTTTTCGTTAAATTGGCCATGTGTTTTTTCATTGGACATCGTGTTAAGTTGCATTAGTTCAATGGCCTAGATCGTTTATGTATTCTCGTTATCAACAACAAAGAAACCTTCGTTTGCTGATTAGTTAATCATTCAGAATATCTTCACGTGCACTTACAATATTATTTAGGTTTCGAAATTGTTAAATAATACTTTCTTTGAAAGCAATCATTTTGGTTAGCGAACTCTGTGTGTGCAATACTTTGGAACAGAAAACATTCGAGATTTTTGTCTCAGCTTGTAAATTTACATTTTGTTAGGCTTAAATAATGTCATAGTAAGAAACTCAATCTAAAAATGGAAGTAGAAGATTTTCAAATGATAGTCTTAAAACTAAATAGTATGTTTACGAGGAGTTCAGAATGTGCATTTTTTTGAACCGTCGAAGTCTGTAAGAATGATTTTTAACATATTACATGTGTAGATTGAAGCGTTGAAGCTTCAACTGCGGCTCGTGCATCTAAGAAATGATGATTGTAGAAGCAAAACGAGGCTAAGTTCTGATTTATTATCAACCTCTTAAAAATGTCACAGCAATAAATGTCCAGAGCTTAAATATTGTTAACAAATACTTTGAACAAAAGTTGAAGTCGCTCACTCACGAGACTATCTGCTTTTATTGATGTATTTACAAACCTATGCGAGTTTTAAAAGCTTTTGTTTAAACAGTTTTTATTAAGGGCTACAATGGAAGTAATTGTTTGTTTGTGTTTGAATTTCGCGCAAAGCTACACGAGGGCTATCTGCGCTAGCCGTCCCTAATTTAGCAGTGTAAGTCTAGAGGGAAGGCAGCTAGTCATCACCACCCACTGCCAACTCTTGGGCTACTCTTTTTACCAACGAACAGTGGGATTGACCGTCACATTATAACGCCCCCACGGCTGAAAGGAGGAGCATGTTTGGTGGAACAGAGATTTGAACCCGCGACCCTCAGACTGCGAGTCGAACGCCCTAACCACCTGGTCATGCCTGGCATGGAAGTACTTCCTCTATCGTTTTATCAGTCTTCTTTTTTTTCAATTATTGGTATTATTCTATTTCGTTCATAATTATTTTTCGAGGTCGGGATTTCTTTGTCTGGTACCAAGTAATGTTACTGTTGCGTATACACTAGTTTCTTTCAAGCTTTACACAATAAAGGTTCGCTACGGGGTCTTCACAAACTCAAACGTTGGCTGCTGTTCTTCATTCATAGTACGATAATAATGCTGCTCTGAATCATCAGGAAGGGTCTCCTTGACCCCCTTGACTCCAAGCAGTTTTCAGAAGGTGAAGCCCCTGTCGTTACACCCTAGTAACATGTCAGATAATAGCACAACCCCATTCTCATATCAGCCAGGTGTGTGATTTAAATTTTGCTTAGAATTCTATTTTTTAGACTTTATATAATAGAAAAGTTTATAAATATAAAATGTGTTTATCTCACTGCCTTTCATTTTGATCCGAAATCTTCGTTTGAGACTGATTTTATTACCTGTCCAGTCGTTCAATATAATTTCCTCCAAAAACGGACTTTTCATTTCCTTCAATACCAATCCAGATTCTTAGACAGAAAGTAAATGTTCAAGAAAACATTGTCTTTGACATCAGCGAAATGAAGGAATATTTGATACAAGTAAAGAAAAACTTTTCAAAAAAGGAAGTAAATGTAGGGTTGGCTAATA